CACGGTGCACCATCTCCCCAGGAAATAAAAAAATAAAAAAGTCGTTCTCACAAGCACAGTCGATAACCTGCGGAGAACTTTGTCCATTTAATTTTTTTTAAATAGTTGTCTTTTTTTTTTTTAATTAAGTGGAAGCAACAAGAAAATTACATCCTTTGCTTGTCTTGTGTCAATGGTTACAAGCCGCCATGAAACAAATGCAAGTGAAAAAGAATTTTCAATATTTAGAGAAGAGCGGGATTTAAAAAAAGAAAAAAAGAAAAAAAACAGAAAAAATACAGTGTTTGACAATGTTGAATTTGTAGAACCTTGTCAAAAACGGTCTTTTGTTTTCTTTTTTTAAAAGACATTCTACTCTAAATATTGAAAAATACTGGAAGAGTTACGTCAGTTATTTTGTTTATTATAATTAGTATGATATGTATTCTCTAAATATTGGTAATAATAATAATAATAATAAATCATTATTATTATTATTATTTCATGTTTGGAATTTGCTTGTTGTGTTACGGGTTGCTCCCAAATTTCAACCATAGACTACAAGCGGCATCAAATTGACATGTCATAATTGATAACAATGTATTCAGTTTAAGGATGTAATCTTAAAACAGGTAAGTCAAAATGTGTTAAAATTAAATAGGAACATTTTCAGTGCTAAAATTTCTTGAATCAATTTTGAGAAATGTTATAAGAAATAAAGTTATGATGGCTTAAAGATTGTTAAAAATCTGTATAAAACTTTTAAAGAATTTAAAATAACTTGAACGAAATTTCAGAAATTCCTTAAACCAAATAGAAATCCATAAAAAGTCACATAGATAGTATTTTCCTTAGGAAGTAAGAAAGTTCCAATTCGTGTAATTTTCCGCATTTCAGCTAAACTTTGCTCACTCGGTAATTGGGAAATGGATGCTTGAATATTTCTTGAAACCATTCTGAAAATGCTGATTTCAATTGAAATTGTAGTTTTGAGAGGCTACATTTTTGAATTTCAATTCCAGTGTCTTTGCATTTATTAAAGCTTTTGGAATGATTTGATTGAGACGTCCACATCGACAAGGATTGTCAATTTAATCAGTAATTATTTACAATTATATCGGATTTTTATAACTGTTAGGGGAAGCTAAGTTTCTTTCATTAAAAAATGACAATAATTTATTATACAAGTGAGTTACTTCCCTTGTCTGAATTGAACATGGTGACCAGCTGACATGGATTTCAATCCATACAATCCTTGCTGTTCTCAGATGTTGCATGAATAAAAGTTGTTTATTTATGTTTTAAAATACACTTGTCTTTTATTTTCATTCATTTTTGTTCATCCCAACAATCTGGATTTATAACAATAACCCTATTTGTTTATACAAAAAAAAAAAGTTACAGAGAGCAGATTATTTCCTTTGGAAGTTACAACGGATGGTTTATGTTGTCTGAACTTTTCTCATTGGGTAGGTCATAATGACAAAATACTGCCCAGTGAATATATATATATATATATATATATATATATATATATATATATATATATATATATATATATATATATATATAAAGTCTATCATGGCGCGGAAGTTTTTTTTTAAATTTATACTAGCGTCCAATCAAGGCAAAGCACAAGAACTACTCAAAGATGGGGAGAATTTGTTTAACGGCATATCAACTCCTGATAGGTCACTTAATGCCTAAATTTAATTTTCTTGGGAGCATTAGTAATTTATTTTACAAAAATGTATTGCTGGTAAATTTTTCCAAAAATGTATTGCAGCTAATATTTTTATTATAAAAATGTATTGCTGGTATTTTTACTATAAAAATGTATTTTTATACTTTCATAGTGTTTTGTCCCCAGTTTGGGGGTTAACTATTTGCCCACAGTTGGGACCCTAACGGGTGCTACCACCTCGGGTCAGAGTGGATCTGGGAACAACAGTAATTAAGAAGTGGTTCTAAGCTCCTCAAAACCACCTGATCAGATGTGCTGCCGGATGTAGTCTATCGTCATTCCCAGGACACCTGATGGGAGACTCTGATCTAGTGCATCAATGTTAACCTTCAAGAGAGCAACTCATTGCGCCTTCTTGGCCTCACATTTTCTACTAACATGAAGTGGAGAGATTCTATTGCATCAATTGCTTGGTCTGCTGCTAAGAAGGTTGGTTCGCTTTGTCATGCATGAGAATGTTTTTCTCTCATCAGAAACCTTCTTGCACATTTATGGCGACCATTCGCCCGTGCATTGAACATTGTTGCCATATCTTGTCTAATTCCCCGTCTATACATCTCAAGATTCGCGACAACATCCAAAGAAGGGTCTGCAATGTTATCTGTCCTAATCTGGCATCTTGGCCTCAGTCACTTTCTCAACGCCATGACGTGATTCCCGCTGTGTTTTTCTATAAATATTTTCATGGCAGTTGTCCTAATGAGCTCTCCAGCTTGGCACCTCGACCGCATGAATTTAAGTATGTCATGGTTGAGGAATCCAAAAAGTGACTTGATCCAATGATTTGTTAGCTCCGTATCACAGCAGAAGGAACAAAAACTTGGAGAGTTGAGTTATTAAAACGATAGTGAGATATACACAAAAGGCATGGCATGTGGAATTAGAACAATCTAACCCCGTGGACTAAATAAAGGGTTTTGTTCGAAATTCCAACGTATGTCACCTGAAGAAGGTTGGGACTTATAACGTGTATGTGTATATGGCAATAAAGGACAACACCCCGAGCGATGTAAACATTCACGATACCTCATCTCAGAAATATAGGCAGATATTAACAGTTCTAATGATCGAGATATAATTTATTAAGTCCAGTTTGGTACAAGGCCTTCGCATTTGGGTATCTATAAAGATATGGCATTCAGGAAGTGGCCAGCGATACGAATATACTAGAATAAATTCATGGTGTGTGTATGTGCGTATGTGTGTGTGTGTATGTGCATGTGTGCGTGCGCGCGCTTGCATTCACCACTCTTTCTATCTATCTATATATCTATCTATCTATCTATCTAGACCGAACACGAATATAACGAAATTTCGTGTTCGCATGATGATAATAATCGTAAACGATTTGCTACATTAGAATTCATACCTTTTCCAAGGGTATTAGTACATAAGAGAATATAACGATCCCAACTGGAATTAGAACTCGGATCTCCGATCTCCAGTGTTATCCAACACACCTGTCGCACATCTAAGTATACAGCATCTGGTATTCCCAAGCGGTCACCCGTCTAGGTACTGACCAGGATCCTCGTTGCTTAACGATCCGTGATCATGCGGAAACCGGTGTTTCAACGAGATGAGTCCGTTAGCCGAAAGGTCCTCGAATACGGCAGTCAAGTGAATAAGGCCAGAGAGTATAGCGGCCGAAGTGCATTAACGATAATAAGCAAGATGGGAAGAGTATACTGACTTTTATGGTGATTTTCCAAGCGTAGCTTAGATGTGGCACAAAGCCAAAAATATGGGGCAGCCATGTACGGAATGAACTTACTACTCAAATCGCAATTGTTCTAGCGAGATAAGCTTGCTAACCATTACACCACGTCGAGGTACCCTAAATAATTTTCTAAGATGAGCTTAGACGTATCAGAAGGCCGAAAGTAAGGAGGATCTAATGAGGCTCATGGCGTGTGTATGTGCGTATGTGTGTGTGTGTGTGCGCGCGCGCTTGCATTCACCTCTCTCTCTCTCTCTCTCTCTCTCTATATATATATATATATATATATAGATATAGATATATTTTTAAGACATTTTTTATGTTTATGTTCTTATATTCTGAGATTTATGTTCTTATGTTTATCTTCTTATGTTCTGAGATATATATATATATATATATATATATATATATATATATAGAGAGAGAGAGAGATAGAGATAGAGGGAGAGAGAGGGAGGGAGGGTGGGAGTGAGTATGTTTATTTAAAGAAAGTGAATTCCGTCTACTGCCTACCGGCTTTATTCCGGTTTGATTATTTTCTTATAAATATATTCAATTTTAATCAAAAGGATTATTTATAAATAATATAGTGGGAAGTAAAATTAGCCAATGAGCGAGTTTTTCTAAATCTTCATTTGCAAGTCCAACAGCTAATTCGAAAATTAGAAAAATACAATAAAAATTAACTGACAAATCCTGTCAATTTAATTTTTATTGTATTTTAAGTATATTTAGGTAGCGAGACTTCACTAAAATTTTGCTAAATTAAATGACAATATCGGTCTAGTCAATTTTTACTGTATTTTTCTAATTCTAAAGCACTGTCTACTACCCATAAATATAACAAATTCCTAAAACTATGTTTTATAAGATATTGCCGATAGCCCTTGAAGAGTGGCAACACTGGTCCGTCTACGAAACTCTGGATTCGGGATTCTGAAGGTAACATCGATCAGCAAAGTGACAAGATTTTACTCATATTAATCTCACACACACACACACACACACACACACACACACACACACACACACACACACACACACATATATATATATATATATATATATATGAAATACATAAAAGGTTAATGGTCAGTGTTGAATCAAACCACGAAGCAGTAGTCTTAAAAAGTGCTCAATATATGTGTGAAAAAAATAAACTCTCCTGAGGATACGTAAGGTTGAAACTAAGATCGCGGATTCAATTGACCTCTTGATTTTTAAAGTATATATATATATATATATATATATATATATATATATATATATATATATATATATATGTAAAAACTCTATCACTGAAATTTTGTTTTTATACACGGAGTTATATCATCCGATTTCTTTTTGAATTTGTAGGTCTGATAAATTGATCGTGATTAAGATTCCAATGTAATAAATTATAACAATGGAATATTAGTGTTTCAGCCTATTATATTATATATATATATATATATATATATATATATATATATATATATATATATATATATATATATATATATAATATTATATATATATATACATATATAAATATGTGTGTGTGTATGTGTGTGCGAGCCTGCATTCACCACACTTTACCTATCTATCTATCTATCTATCTATCTATCTATCTATCTATCTATCTATCTATCTATCTAGACCGAACCCGAATATAACAAAGCAGAGTAGCATATAAACCCAAAGTATTAATGATGAACTTAAAACACAGACAAATCATTAATAAGAAGCTTTGCAATTTAACAGCAGAATTTTGTCAGCCGTTTTAACGAAACTTGTAGAAAAGAGGCATTGTTGCCCTATATATATATATATATATATATATATATATATATATATATATATATATATATATATATATATATAAAAATATCAAAATCAAAAATCAAAAAAAATCAGGGCGTCTTCTAAAATATGTGTATCCACTAAAATATAGCGTTTCTAGAAATAAGAAATAATAGTATTAAAGTTGATTACTTAAAATAGAATCCATTGATATATATATATATATATATATATATATATATATACAATGTGTATTTTGGAAGGAATCTTTCTTTCAAAAATGTTTCGTTGAATATAACAGAGAAGGAAAATTTTCATGAATTTCTTATTGAGTTTTTCTAGTATTCATAAAATTTTCCATTTTGTTGTGGCAAGAGCATACAGAAATTGTCCATAGTGTCTGTTGTCCCAAGCGCTTTCGGCCACTTCCTTAGCTATTTTGAAGAGGTTTGTTGTTAGATATCTTTTCACTGACACACACACACACACACACACACACAGAGAGAGAGAGAGAGAGAGAGAGTTAGATATATATATATATATATATACATACATATATATATATATATATATATATATATATATACATATACATATATATATATATATATATATATATATATATATATATATATATATATATATATATATATACATACATATATATATATATATATATATATACATATATATATATATATATATATATATATATATATATATATATATATATATACATATATATATATATATATATATATATACATACATATATATATATATATATATATATATATATATATACATACATACATACATATATATATATATATATATATATATATATATATATATATATATATATATATATATATATATATATATATATATATATATATATATATATATATATATATAATGATTGTAGAGATTGCAGCAGAAGGAGAGCGTGAATAGAGCAAGATTTCGAAAAGAAATCCTTTTCGAAGAAACAAAAGCCTCGCCATCTTGTGTTTCAATGCAGACTTTCCTCACGTGCCGGAACGCAATCTTCTTCTAATGTCACACTGCACCAGAAGAATTAATAAGATGTAATTAATGAATAAGCAAATTAATAAATACCTGCTGCGTATATTTTATAAGCTTATGCTGGCACAAGGCCGTAACAGATTGAGTTTGATGCAGGTCGAAATCGCTTGCAATGTCCTTCGTGTCTACTATCTTAACCAATTCTGACAATCCCAACATTTTTATCTACGGATATAATAAGTTAAGCTTAAAACAAAATAGAATTTAAAAATATCTTTTATATAATAATATTAAAATAAAAAATAAATGGTAATTTCTGATTTATAAATATCAAACAGCCGCCTACTCAGTTTCTGCTGAAAACACAGGCCAAGTTTCCCTAACTGAATTACTCAGATACAGCATGATCTTTGTACAATGCTTGTGTAATTAGAAGGAAGAGAGAAAGGGGTAATAAAAAAAACAAAAACAACAAAAAAAAAAAAACGAAAAAAAAACACTGCTAAGTGCTGGTTGTGGAGAGCCATTATCGCTCACGTGTCGAAGGAACACGGCAGATGACAGAAAAAAAAGGAGAACTTCGATGTGGTGTAATGATTAGCAAGTATGTCTTGCTAGATTAATTAAGACTAAGTATTGAGTTCGATCCCTACTGAGTGCTCTACACTTGCCACGCCTAAGCTACGCTTAGAAAATCATTTCGGCACGTCGATTTGCTCTTATGTTTAACAGGCTTGTCTCGCTAGATCAGTTATAAAAATCGGTAATAATTTTAATCAATATTAGCATGGAAAAAAATCAATCACTGACTTTGAAAACAGAAACTTAAAATGGATGAAGTTTTACAAGTACATTGTAAATTTCAAGCTGCTTTAAACAAAGACTCGTGTATTTGCTATATTATTAAAAAGAACAATATAAAGCTTTTGTAAAAACAATGGCTTCAGAGATTTAATGTAGCAAATCGTTTCTGATTATTATCATCATGTGAACACGAAATTTCGTTATATTCGGGTTCTGTCTAGATAGATAGATAGATAGATAGATAGATAGATAGAGAGAGAGAGAGAGAGAGGTGAATGCAAGCGCGCGCGCACACACACACATACGCACATACACACGCCATGAGCCTCATTAGATCCTCCTTACTTTCGGCCTTCTGATACGTCTAAGCTCATCTTAGAAAATTATTTAGGGTACCTCGACGTGGTGTAATGGTTAGCAAGTTTATCTCGCTAGAACAATTGCGATTTGAGTAGTAAGTTCATTCCGTACATGGCTGCCCCATATTTTTGGCTTTTGTGCCACATAAGCTACGCTTGGAAAATCACCATAAAAGTCAGTATACTCTTCCCATCTTGCTTATTATCGTTAATGCACTTTTGGCCGCTATACTCTCTGGCCTTATTCACTTGACTGCCGTATTCGAGAGGACTTTTTCGGCTAACGGACTCATCTCGTTGAAACACCGGTTTCCGTATGATCACGGATCGTTAAGCAACGAGGATCCTGGTCAGTACCTAGACGGGTGACCGCTTGGGAATACCAGATGCTGTATACTTAAATGTTCGACAGGTGTGCTGGATAACACTGGAGATCGGAGATCCGAGTTCTAATTCCAGTTGGGATCGTTATATTCTCTTATGTACTAATACCCTTGGAAAAGGTATGAATTTTACCCCCCCCCTCGCCCAGAAGCTATGGATTAATTATTAGGACTTGTATCACTAAACCATTATCCCCGCCAAATTCTTACAATCTAGAAATATTTCTGGTCTTAAATAACCCACACAAGGTCGATAAGCCGTAAAAAAACAAATCAGTCAATCGCTTGAGATTTTTCCATTTTTTAAAATCCATATCCTTTTGGTGTCAGTTTAAACTGAGGTTTTCTTTTTGTTCCATATATTGCGACCATTTTGCTTAAAGTTCACCTTTTCTTGATTTCAGATGAAAACTTGGAAAATCTGTAACAAATCAAATGTTTACTTTCTAAACTCAGAAGTTATAGTTGAGATATACGGAATAAAGAAGGTGTTAGATTAAAATGTCACCAGGAAGATATGTGTTAATACATAGGAATAGTGATAGATAAGTTCTTAAATTATTTTCCAGGCTTTGGGATATCCAGTATCAGTTACTCGTTCTCATTTCGTTAATTGAATACGTTTTTTTTTTTTTTTTTTTCTGTCACTGAATTAAAATCTGTTCATTTTCACTTCCTGTCTCGGAATTTTGTTTGGAAAATCTAGGACATCTCGACGTTTGAAATTATATACATAATGATTTTCCAAGCGTAGCTTAGATGCGGTACAAAGCTGAAAGTATAGGGTACCCGGTGAGGATCGAACTCACTACTCAGTCGTAATTGTTCTAGCGAGACAAGCTTGTTAACCATTACACCGGCTCGAGGCTGAAATTATATATATATATGCTAGAGGTGGTTGTAGTGTTTTTTGTCTTAGGTCAATTCTCTGCCTCAGTTTTCCTATTAACACAAGAAAGCTTTTTGATGATGGGTTTGTCTTTTACGTTTTTGGTTAGTCTTTCATACATATTACATATTATATTTGTTATACTTTTTAATATTTATTATATTTATCAATATTTAATAAATATTTATTATATTTATTGTGGGCGCAACCGCTTTCTGACCATGAGACCCGGGTTCGAATCTCACCATGATCGATTTGTCAGGAAGGAGACTTCCTGATGTTATCGGTCCGTGGGTCGATCCCAGCGTGTGGCGCCTTTGGAAAGTGCCCGAAAAACCATACCACCGCTTAACCCAAACCTTGTGAGTCAAATTGAGTAGGCGGAACACTTTGGTGCCGTCGATAACTGTGCTAGCACGAAGTCACAAGTCATTGTGACCGAGGGCCTGAGTGTGATCGTTGATCATTCTAGGTAACGCGCTCTCTCCCAGAAACTGTAACTAAGGTCTGCTCAGCATAGTTGCAGTATAAACCACAAGTGGGCTCTGTGAGTGTTGAACAAACACAAATATGCCTGAGCAAGAGTCTGCAATAGGGATTGGCTAGCCACCCTAGTAGACGAGTATCCTCGAATACGAGTGGCCAGCTATTATTATATTTACTATATTTTTTAAATATTTTTTTCATATTTATTAATCTTTATTATACTTTTAAATATTTATTATACATATTTGGTGTAGATGATTGTCGTTGTCTCGATTTAGCGGCTTATTAATATCTATGGGTTACTTAATGCCGAAATCTAAATATTTTGTACACAATTCTTTTGAGACAATAATGTTTTTAGTAATGTAAAATGTTTTACTAATTAACCCATAGGTGGAGCCACCTTTCCCAGGGGTATTTGCGCGTAAGTGCTTATAGACGAACAACTGGAATTGGAATCAACTCTCTGATTTCCAGTACCGAGCCGTTATTCATTATACTAGCTTACAGCACCTGGTATTCACAAGCGGTCACCCATCTAGGTACTAACCAGAATCGACGTTGCTTAACTTCGGTGATCGTAAGGCAAATGGTGTTTTAACGTGATGCGGTCGTAAGCTCGGTTTTGGTGTAGAAGAAGCCATTAGACTAATAAATAAATAAATAAATAAATAAATAAATAAATAAATAAATAAATAAATAAATATGTTGTTTTTTTAAAACATTGTGACATCATTGGCCTCGCATCAGTGATTATTGTTCACTTTTGGGCCCTCGGTGGTCAGTCTTGTACAAATGAAAATTACGCTGTCTCGCGATTTTTTTAATGTAACCTGTCGGAAAACACCCATTGTGGTTAGGAACCTGTTGTAGGTAATTTTTTTGTAGTTTTATTTTAAGTGAGCGTTTGAAGATTATGGCCTTATGCCAGACATGGTTAATCCAAATAAATTTATATTAAGATTAAATTGTTCGTAATTCATTTTCGATTTACTCATTCATAAAGAAACCAGTTATCAAAATGATGATCGTAAAATCCCATTTCCTTTGCAATCAGTTTTCCTATCAATGAAGTTCAACTGTGGAGAAATCAGGGAAGGAATTCTGTGTGCTACAATCTTGAAAAACTAAATAACTAAATAATAATAATAATAATAATAATAATAATAATAATAATAATAATAATAATAATAAATCTGTATTTAAGGTCTATGAATTTTGGCTTGATCCGAGCCCCAACGCCTGTCTGGAAATCGATAAACATTTCATTCACGTCAGGTAGGCCAGCATTTTTTTTTATTTAACTCTTACATTGTAATGGAAAGCCGAAATATTTGTGTAGCGTTTCGTTTATTTCAGAAAGTTTATTAAATATCATTATATGACTGAAACATTATTAAAATTATAGTGAGAAGAAAAAAAAAATGGAGGCATATATACCTCCATTTTTTTTCCATTCATTTTCCCAGCATAAATTACTCTTCACTCGTAATTTAAAACGAGGCTTACCATATGTCCCAGTTTAGTCGAGACTGTCCCGGTTTGCGGAATCTGTCCCGGTGATATAAGGTATTATTTTTAATCCGTAATTTCTTTTTAAATCCATAAGCTTAGGAGGCGAAAATGGCTTTATTACATAAGAAAACTAAATCTATGATAAAAACTGAAAACGATCCCAGTTTGATAAGACTACTTAAAACCAACTACATTTTTTATGTCACGGTGTAGAGGTGTTGGCTCAACTAGTAAAGATGATGAGAAAAATTTTTAATCCGATGTCTCAATTCACTCACTGATAACTCCAGCACACAATAATCAGTATTGACGGATATGGATTAAATCTGGTCTGATCTAAGACGACATTTATATCGTCGTCTGTTAGGGTTGAACCTATTTTCAATTGTCTTTCGAAAGTAGAGCTGCTAGCGAAACGGTTAACGATGCGGAATATGGAATCGGTGAGACATTATTGTTAGTCTGTACCGTTCATTTTTGCACGGATGACTTTGTCTGTCAGTCAGTCTAGAGCTGGAACACTTTGAATTGAAAACCGATTTGAAGACAACGGAAAACTACTCCAATATATTTCTTAAAAATGTATGGCATTTCACAGATAATAATAATAATAATAATAATAATAATAATAATAATAAATAATAATAATAATCGGAATGAACAATTTGATAAATGTGCTAAAGCTACAGTTTTACGAGGATCGCTACAACAAACTATTAGTTTAGACCCTGCTGTAAACAACAAAAAGATTTAGAACAAGGAGAATTATAAGTACCTAGGTGTTTATTCACCATAAGAAAAATGAAAAATAGTGCGTAAAGAGTACTATAGAAGGGTACGACTGGTATTAAAAACTGAATTGAATTCTCAGAACAGAATTATGGCCATTAATAACCTAGCCATCCCATGGTCCAATATATTTCAACATCTTGAACTGGACCCTAAATGACATCAGACAAATGGATTCTAAAACAAGAAAGCTTCTTTATATAAGATGCATCATCCAAATATGTAGACCGTCTATACATAAGTAAAGAAGGTGGAAGAGGTCTTATTCAGCTAGAATTGTCATACAAGACAACAACTATTGGCTTACTAACTTACATGGAAACAACAAATGACTGGATGATAAAATTAGTGAAACAACATGAAAACAGAAAGAAAAAATATTCAATAATAGTAAATACAAACAACATTTACATTTAGTAGATTCTTAGTAAATGCCAAGAACCAACTATTGCAGCAAAAGATATGAAAAAAGAAAAAGGATAAAGCCCTTGAACAGATGAAACAACGCTGGCAAGACAAACCTCTGCATGGCCAATATCCAGAATGCAAATAAACCCAATGTTGATAAAGTTAATACTCATCGATGGTTACGAGCATCTGGATTAAAGTCTGAAAACTGAAGGCTTTATTCTTGCAGCGCAAGACCAGAGTCTTTTCACTAGGAATTTTCAGGCAAATAACATAATAATGTGGATCCAAAATGCAGGTTTGTGACAAATACCAAGAAACAATAGACCATCTAATCTCAGGATGTTCTATACTTGCCCCAAATGAATATAAAAATCGTCACGATAGAAAAAATCACACTGGACAACAAACACTTTGGAAAATGTAAGCTAAACACTGGTATGAACATGGCCAGCGCCGGTTACAGAAATAGAAGGTCACCATTCTATGGGATTATACCATCCACACAGACAGAAAAATTGAAGCAAATAGGACATTATTGCATTAAAAAACCAGAAAGAAAAACTTGCCTACTAATTGAATGGCTTGTCCAGCGGATTGCAACATACAACCAAGGAATTTGAAAAATATCAAAATACAAAGTGAAATTGAAATAGAAAAAATGAAATTGAAAACAAGAATAATACCAGTGGTAATAGGTACTTGGAATTAAAAAATGGAACAAAAAACAACACATTGAAAGAATCCCTGGAAACCCCCTTAAGAGACATACAGAAAATTGTCTTATTGGCACAGCACACACACTAAGGAGAACTTTGTCTATGTAACGCTAGCAACTTCATCGGAGATAAAAAAAAAAAAAATTAACCTGAAATGTGGCTATAACAACACCACGACCTGCCTTAGGTCTTTCCGCAGACTTGGTTAGTGTGTCCATAGCAGAAATCGAATGATGATGAAATAATAATTAATAATAATAATAATAATAATAATAATAATAAAACTTGAAGAGTCATGATCGCCTTTTTAACATTAAAAAAGAATCCCTGTTTGTATTTGAGTCAGCTTATGACAATTTGTTCAAGCAGTATAAATATCATCTACATAAGAACAGAAAAAGTAATGCTTGTATTAGTGTTTAATGGTAGATCAATAGTTAAAAATAGTTTAGAATGAATGAAACATGTAAGTTTTATCAAGGACAATCCTTCTTCGAACATTGTAGATTGTCGTTACAAAATCACAAACAAATTACTGAAACCACATCACTAGAGGACATTCAACATAAGCAACAGCTAAAATGAATATCAATGACGTAATTGAGATGTTGACGTTCAACACTACATCAAACAAAAGATTAGTAAGGATCCCCCGGATACTGAAAGAGCAATAATAACAGTTTGACTTCGGAAACCTATGAAAAAAATTTTAATAGAAAGAAAATTTCAAGCCAAAGCTGTATGACTTCGGGATTAATGAATACTGAAACAACTAATATTATAACATAACCCGGATATAAGAGAGTTTGGACCGAGAAGAATTTATATCCGGTTTGGTCTATTTTATATACATTAACACAGTTCTAATTTGGGACTAGAGAAAATCTCTCTTATATCCGGGTTTCTCTTATAGCTGGGTTACACTGTACCATTAAAGACGAGAAGAACAGATACTACACTTTGATTCCAGCAAGATAGCCAGGGAATGATGAAAAGCGTAACTCATGTAGCTCTGGCGTCTCGATTAATGAATACTGAATATTTCTTTAAAAGGAAACAACTAATATTACTATTACCACTAGAGAAGAAGAGAACAGAGACTATACTTAGTATTTATTTGCGATCCCACTCTAGAAGGATGTGACACAAGGTCAGTTTAATGTGGGGAAACTGAGTGCAGACACTCGGGACATGTCCAAAAATAGCCCAGTCCCCACAACGGTCGTTTGTGCGAGAATCGGTTTTACTACAAGTCCCTGTTCTTTAGAGCAATGAGGAAGGTACTGCCGCGAGCAACTGTCTCCTGGAACCGGGTACCTCTCAATATTTATTCAGTTGCTCTCTATCCGAAGACAAAGCTCTATCCTAAATCACTCAGTCAGCCATGCGTATTACACGCTTAGGCGATCATGTATCTTTCGATACATGACTGACGAGGCAGATTTTTTCCCGCAGTAGGTTGCCATTTCTTTCTGCCGTAGATCAGTTGCAATCCAAAGCCAAACCGCTCTGTACTGCTATTTACCCATAGCTGGGGTGGGGGTGAGGGGTGGAGAAGATGATTCATACCTTTCTCAAGAGTATTAGCATGGATTCGACGTGAATTCGAACTCGGCTCCCCAATTCCTCAATCCAAGCCGCTATCCATTACTCCACCGTACAGAAGCATAATTGAGAGATAATATGTAGTTTGTCCGCCCGAGGGCAGACACTACGCTTTTGTCCCAGCCCGGGGTCAGTGGAGTGAAGAGAACTGGGGTAGTATTTGCTGCTAGATATGCCGAATGTTTCCTTATAAGGAAACGGTTAATATTACCATTATCATTTTTTAAATTTATTTTCTTTTTAGATATAATTAAACTAAAGATAGAGAGAGCAAAGATATTTCCATAATTGGAGTGATAGTTCTTCGATAACAACGATAACATCATTACTTTTGCACGTTTACCGAATTCACAGACTAATTAATGAGTGTCGTAACTTTGATTCTTAGTGGGTGCTTCTCACTATAGTTGCCCTGTGCAACTTACCACTGTTTAGTGAGTTTGATTCTCACTGGGTTTCACTGGGTGTCACTTTGTACGAGAATAAAATTAGCCGAAATCTAAAATATAATCCTGTGTCACTATCCAATAAATAACGGCGAGTCCAGCTCGCAGATCCATTCCTTAGTGTAGTGAGT